GGCTCATCTGAATAATCCAGGATCATCTGTTCCTCTCAATATCTTTGCATCTGCAAAGTTTCTGTTGGCAGGTAAGGTTCACAGCTTAGACGTGTTCACAGCTTTCAGGAATTAGGATATGGACATCTTTGGGGGACCACTAGTCTACCTATCTGGAGAAGGCAATGGCACCCCACTCCAGTACTCTTGCCTGGAAAATCCCATGGATAGAGGAGCCTGGTAGGCCGCAGTCCATGAGGTCGCTAAGAGTTGGACACGACTGAGCGACTTCACTTTCACTTTTCACTTTCATGCACTGGAGAAGAAAATGGCAACCCACTCCAGTGTTCTTGCCTAGAGAATCCCAGGGATGGGGGAACCTGGTGGGCTGCCGTCTATGGGGTCGCACAGAGTCAGACACGACTGAAGTGACTTAGCAGCAGCAGCAGTCTACCTATCACAATGCACAAATAATATGAATGGTAAATTCATAGGATAGAAATCTGAGTAGTCACTAATGATTCAAGAAAAATACAAATACAGCTCAGTGGTAACCTGGAAAAAAAACAAATACAATTTCTCAGCATTTGGGGAAAAAAAACGTCTAATAATACCAAGAATTTTTAGCATGTAGGAAAGGAAAAATACCACAATACCTGTTATATTGCTTTATATGAATATTTATGGCCCAATTTCAGGCAAAAATACTAGGGAATTTGCTCACAGATGTATAGCAACATTGAGACATGCAAAAGGAAGTTTAAAACATAATCCTATGGAATCAAAAGAAATTAAACACAACCAAAAGGTATACTGAGAAGATGGATAAATAAATTGCCCTGTATTCTTGTTGGAATATTGCTCACTAATAAAAATAAATGTGCCATATCTGCATTTTTCAAATGGATGTAGAAGTCATAATATCAAATGAGAAAAATGATTTCCAGAGTAATATGAATAATAAAGGAATATTTAAGTAAAACATTTGAAAACATACCAGACAATAAATGTTATTTCTGAACATATACCTACTTAAAATATAAAAATGTGTGGAGAATAATAGAAATCAATTTCAAGGTAGTGGCTATGTATGAAGAAGAGAGATGGAACTAAGATTGTAAAATACACAGGTTATTTACCTGAATTTATAATTTTTAAACATTTATTTAATGAAATCTGAAGCTAAATGTTAGCTTTTGCTAGTAGAGTGTGGGAGTGTTTGTTATATTACTCAGCTTTTCTGAATGTTTCTTTAATATTCTCTTAAAGTAGTAATTGAAGTGTAAATGAAATGCAGGTAATTTTCTGTTGGTTTTTATAAGTGTTTCTGTCCTTATTTTGTAAGTAAAGAGATTTCCTTACATTTCCAGAGGAAGTAATAATAACTAGAGTAGTTTTTCGTTTCAAAGGTTTCCTTTACATTTGAATACTTGTGAAGTAATTTGCAAATGACAACATACTCTATAAATGTCAAGGAGGTTTAATTACCTTGGCTTTTCTGTCTTTTTTTAAAAGCTAAATTAGCAGTATATGTCTGTTTTATTAAAAAGGCATATCACCTTCTATTAAAGAATTGAGTCTTATTTGTGTATAGACAATAATCTTTGTTTGGGGCTTTAGTTTATAAGGTAAATCTACTTGGGCTGAAAGATATTAATACTATAACTCCGGACAGGGTAAGCAGATCACATTTTATTATTCTTTTTTCCGTAGATAATGAAGCTAAGTAGCCTTAAGACTAAGTTCATGCAAATGTATTTTGATACAGAATTCAGGATACAGATACTTCTGATAGACCATTTAGTGTTTAATCCGTTATTTCAGAAAAAGAAGTAATCTCACTGATTATGTCAGACCAGGGCTCTATGTGGTACCTTTTAGGATTACTCTTTTCAATAAAGGAGGTAAGTTGGTAAAAATAATATTAAATATTGCTATTAAATTATAACATTAAAATAGTAAATATGTAATCATTAAAACATATGCCCTTCCTAATTCCAAGAATTAGAAACTGCTTTCAGAGTTACAAAAACCCTTGATTAATTCACTCAATTCTATGCAAATGCTTGTACTGTTGGAGTCTTACCCCTTCTTCTGGTCCAATAGGAAAACATAGTTCAGGGAAGATGAGAATGACAACTGGCAAATGATAAGGACCAAACCACCACTTCTGTAGACAGAGGACTGTATAGTGTGGGATCTTCATTATGAAAAGAAGAAGAAGATCAACTTTGGAAATTAAAACTCTTTAAAAGTATGAGCAAATATAGAAACTTTATTAAATCCATTCATTAGGGCTACCTTAACAAAATAGCATAGACTGTAACTTAAACAACAGACATTTATTTGGTCACAATTCTGGAGGCTGGATCAGGTGTCAGCAGGACTGATTTCTTCTAAGACCTCTCTCCTTGGCTTGTAGAAGATTGTCTTCTTTCCATATCTTCTTATACTCTTCCCTCCATTTGTGTCTGTGTCCTAATCTCTTCTTATAAGGACACCAGTCATACAGAATTAGGGCCTACCCTCATGACCACATGTTAACTTAATTATTGCTTTAAAGACTCTATCTTCAAGTACAGTTACATTCTGAGATATTGAAGGTTAGGACCTCAACATATGAATTTGTGTCAGGACACAACTCAGCCAATTATGGCTTCTGAAAAGTCAAAACCTATAACTTGTTAATCAACAGCTGTCTGTTGTGTCATAAGTTTAAAAGAGGTGGTCCTTCCCTCCTTTCTCCCCATTGTACAATGATGGTACATTATTATTTAGGCGGGAAATTTTCAACAAGGATTCTTCCTATTTTATCTCAATCCCAAGACCCCCAAATATCTAACTGAAGTGAATAATGATAATGAAGTATACATTACTCTTTTCATTTTGAAGGGAATCACATGATCTGAATAGACTTTAAAAAATATTGTACCAAATGTTTATATCACTGTGAAGTTTGAAAACCATACTAACTCTCTGTGGTTTCATGAAGGATGCATGCACGCAAGCTTGCTAAGTTGCTTCAGTCATGTCTGACTCTTTGCCACTCTATGGACTGTAGCCTGCCAGGCTCCTCTGTCCATGGGATTCTTCAGGCAAGAGTACTGGAGTGGGTTGCCATGCCCTTCTACAGGGAATCTTCCCCACCCAGAGATCGAACCCATGTCTCTTATATCTCCTGCAGTGGCGGTGGGGGGCCGGGGGTGGTTCTTTACCACTGGTGCCACCTTGGATGTCCCTTCATGAAGGACATCTGTATTGAAATCTCACCATATTTTACTCATTGATCTGGCCAAGTATAAACATGGAGTAGTCTCCCCTCCACTCTCTTCTATTTCTTTATTGGCTCCCTTAATTTTTATTATTTTTCCAAGTCAGAAATTTGGAAATATTTTAATACTTATCTCCTTTTAAATACATACAAAGTAACCATTGCCAGACTCTGTCTGTAGCTGTTGTTCCACCAGGTTTTCATAGGCCCAGTTTTGAAAGTCAGCGTTTGAACAGTGTTTGAACCCTTTCCTTGATTTATATTCCTGTCAAAATTATCCTTTTCTTTCATCCAAAGTAATGGATGCCTTTGACTGAAGAAGGGAAATACTAACAAAACAAAATGAAAAAGCAAAGAATGTCAATTAATACTTGAATTATTATTATCTTCCTACATGAATCTGACTTCCTCCACTTAAAATTATTTAATACTCAATTAAATCCAAAGTCCTTAGTCCATGACATGAAGCTTTTCCAGACATACTTTTTACAGAACTATATTCCTCATATTTATCCACTTTCCTCTTTGAATTTTATGTGCCATAAATGTGTCCATTTATGGTTCTTACTTTCTGCCATTGGTGTGCTTGTGAATATTTGACCACCAGTTCTGTTGGCTGAAGGGTCAGGGTAGGGCAGGCGGCTTCATTTGTAGCATTTGCTGATGTCGATAGTGTAACTACTCTGACCATGGCTAATTATAAGCTAGTTACATGAAATCAACTGGCTTGCAAAATTCTGAAAATTTTACAGTTGGTCCTCGTTGAATAGTATATCCAGTTCTAGCATACTGCTGGTTCCTATGCCCACAAACTTTATCTCAAGGCTTCAAATATGCTACTTATTTGACTTAAAATAGTCTTCTTTCTGTGCCGGAGAAGTTCCCATTAATTTTTTAAAGTGTATTTCAGATGTCCTTCTGTTTTAGAATTGCCCCCCTACCCCTACCCCCAGCTTTCCTGTGTGGTCTATCACTGCCTCATTAGTTTTTCTCTTCATCATTGGAAATGATTTTATGTTGAGTTTACCACATTATCATATCTTTTTATTTATTTATCTGTTTTCCAATTACATTGTTAGCATTTGAAGGGACTTCGGTTTTGCAGATGAGGAAATTGATGTGCAGAGCCTAACAATATGGGGAAACATAATGCCACATTTGTTTATTTTTAATAGACTAGTATGTAAAAGAATGGACAGATTAATACTCAAAAGCTTACATTTACTTTTCTGTGGCCTTACACAAGTGAATTAGCCTTCCTGATCTTAAGTTTTCTCATCTACAAATGGGCGTAATAATAGGTAAACTCATGAGACTGTTGTAAGAAAATGCCTGTGAAGCAGAGTGCAGTATGTGACTCTGAGGACCACTGAACAAAGAGTAACTGTAGGCTGTATCAGAAAGTGAAAGCACAGAAGAACCTCCATTATTTCGGAGGATGCTTTGGACAAGGTACAAGATAGACTCATCTTACTTATGTGTCTTGTGAGAGTGAAACATTGTAACTTCACAGTTTAAGATGAAATCCAGTGTTCATTCTTAACATGTAAGACCTTTAATAGGTTTATCATGATGCCTCTATTAAAAAATTTTTTTTTTCTCTTACTTGAGAGCTTATCTTGAAAACTTGAAACACCCAGGTTTCAGGGTTTTTTTGTTTGTTTTTGTTTTTAATCCAGACTAGGTACTTCATAATGTGATTGCACTCATTTAGCCCATGGCCTGCTGTTTTCTGTTTCTGTTCCTTCAGACTTTGCATGCAAGATTCCTTCCCTTTGACTGTCCAGTCCTGCATCATGCCGAAAGACTGTGAAACCACTGAGTGGTCTTCCTGGAGCCCCTGCTCTAAGACCTGTCGTTCAGGGGGTCTCTCGCCAGGATTTAGGAGCAGGAGTCGTGATGTGAAGCACGTTGCTCTTGGAGGTGGGAAGGATTGCCCTGAACTTCTCGAGAAAGAAGCCTGCATTGTCGAAGGGGAGCTTCTGCACTTATGTCCCAGGTATAGTGTATTCTTTGGCATGAGTGTTCAGTTGTTCTATATAATCTGATTGTATGTGATATAGACATGTTACTAATCACTGTGGCTGTGTCTCATACTTGTCGAGTCTTTACTCAGTGCAAAGTTTCATATTAGGCAGTAGAATGCAGTAGGATAAGGGCATAGGCTGTGTTGATTCCCTGGCCTCCAATCCTACTTCTGAGAACTTTCCAGTTATCTGCATTTTGGCAAGTAAGTTAAATATAGTATCTCAGGTTGCTTTTCTACTAGCTGTACTCACTTCATCCAGCACCTGCCACATCATAAATGTTTAATAGCCATTAGTTATCATTGCCTGATGTGCCAGACCTAATTTTTCTGATAACCTAAGAAGTCATTCATCAGCATCGTCATTTTGTAAATAAGGCCATTGATGCTTAGAGAGATTAAGCAATTTCTGAGGTTATTTAGTTAATGAATGACAGCCCCCTGATACTAATGACATTCTTTCTCTGAAATTCACTGCCACCCTGGGGCACTGTTTCTATTTCAGGTCCCTAGGGAAATGGAAAATGTTGGAAAAGGGTTGACATAAGTGAATAGCTAAATTGAAGACCTTGATATTGGTTATATTTTGCCTGATAGTGTTGCCTTTGGTGAAGACCCCAGTGTATTTTCATCTGGTTGTTGGCTTACAATGGACTCAGTCTGATAATGATAGAAGTTGTGCAGAAGTCGGTTGGGGATGAATTTGTGATAATTCCTGCTGCACAGCTGCCCTGAATTATATCTTAAGTCTGTAATTATATTAAATAGATCTTTTCTCGTTTCTTATTGTCTCTAAGATTTGAGAGCATTTCCTCAGTGAAACAGGGAAGCAAAACATAACTTACTGTAGGAATTAATCACCTGGGATATGTGAAGTGTAAGCAGGTTACAAACTCACCTGGTGTTGTTGATAGGCCTGGCTATTCCTTATACTTTAAAGAATGCATGTAAGAGGAGGGCAGAGGTTGGGGAATGGGGTATCACTGAGCAAGTTCCTCTTTTCACATTCTTAGTCACTCACTTCCTTCACCTCACCATAGAAATCTGGGTCGATTCAACATACTCGTTACATATTGACTGTTCATTTTTTAGTAAGATGGCTACTTAAATTTACGCCATTTCTTGCCTGAAAAAGCAGAGAAAGCAGATGTAGTTCTTGATTCTTGACAGGTTAACCTACTGTCACAGAATCCTTCCTAATTGTATTAAGTATGTGTTCAATCTTTCAAGACACTAGTTTTGGGGCAAAGCATGAGATTGGAAATAAAACCTGAGGTCTCTGTCCTTTTTGAACTTGGATAAACCTTGGGAAAAAATTATATACCATTACTTATTAGCTATATATGTTTGAAAAATCTATACAACTTCTTTAGCACATTCCCCTCTTCAATAACATGTGTCTCAATATGCTGCCTGTGTTGGAGGTTGAAGAGCTGCCGAGTAGCACTGTCTATCCCACTGCTTAGCACATAGGAGGCACTACAGGTGTACTGATTCATATTGTTATTTTCAGGTGGGTTCATTTCTGCCAGTAAGAGAATCTCCCCTTGGAAGGCATACTGCAATGAGTTCAATTCAGTTGCTCAGTAGTCTCTGACTCTTTGCGACCTCATGTACTGCAGCATGCCAACCTTCCCTGTCCATCACCAGCTCCCGGAGCTTGCTCAGACTCATGCCATCCAACCGTCTCATCCTCTGTCGTCCCCTTCTCCTCCTGCCTTTAATCTTTCCCAGCATCAGCGTCTTTTCCAATGAGTCAATTCTTTGCATCAGGTGGCCAAAGTATTGGAGCTTCAGCTTCAGCATCAGTCCTTCCAATGAACATTCAGGATTTCCTTTAGGTTTGACTGGTTTGATATCCTTGCAGTCCAAGAGACTCTCAACAGTCTTCACCAATACTGTAATTCAAAACCACCAATTCTTCAACACTCAGCTTTATAGTCCAGCTCTCACATCTATACATGACTACTGGAAAAACAATAGCTTTCACTAGATGGAACTTTGTCGTCAAAGAAATGTCTCTGCTTTTTAATGTGCTGTCTAGTTTGGTCATAGCATTTTTTCCAAGGAGCAAGCGTCTTTTAATTTCATGGCTGCAGTCACCATCTGCAGTGATTTTGGAGCCCAAGAAAACAAAGTCTGTGACTGTTTCCATTGTTTCCCATCTATTTGCCATGAAGTGATGGGACCGGATACTATGATCTTAGTTTTCTGAATGTTGAGTTTTCAGCCAGCTTTTTCATTCTTCTCTTTCACTTTTATCAAGAGGCTCTTCAGTTTCTCTTCACTTTCTGCCAGAAGGGTGGTGTCATCTTAATATCTGAGGTTATTGATATTTCTCCTGGCAATCTTGATTCCAGTTGGCATGTCATAAAGTCCAGCATTTCACATGATATACTTAAATAAGCAGGGTGACAATATACCTTGACCTATTTTTCCCAATTTGAAACCAGTCCATTTCCCAATTTGAAACCAGTCCATTGTTCCATGTCTGGTTCTGACTGTTGCTTCTTGACTTGCATATAGATTTCTCAGTAGGCAGGTGAGGTGTTCGGTATTCCCGTCTTTATAAGAATTTTCCAGTTTGTTGTGATCCACACAAAGGCTTTGGCATAGTCAATGAAGCAGAAGTAGATGTTTTTTATGGAACTCTCTTGCTTTTCCTATGATTCAACAGATGTTGGCAGTTTGATCTCTGGTTCCTCTGCCTTTTCTAAATCCATCTGAACATCTGGTAGTCCTTGGTTCACGTACTGTTGAAGCCTTGACTTGGAGAATTTTGAGTATTACTTTGCTAGCGTGTGAGATGAGTGTAATTGTATGGTACTTTGAATATTCTTTGGCATATTACCTATTCTATAATAATTTAATAGAATAGAAAGTTATTTTTCTGGGTGATTTGAAGATTATTTTTTCCCTATGGAGGCCTAGCTTAGGAAGAGTCTCAATGTTAGGCTGCCAGGAGTAGAATCTGAGTGAAATGATAACTTCACATGTGTGCTTTTCTCCTTCATCCTTTTCAAGGAATGGCTGATGACCTTTTCCTGATATTTTCATCTGTTTTTTGAATTATAAATATCCCTCTGTTTTTCTCTTTTCTTTGTCAATAACTATGCAATTCTCTTGTAAGTAAGAACGGTACCTCCCTGAAGATGTTGAAGAAGTTTAGTTGTATCAACTTTTGTTTAGAATGACTGCCTTTTATTGAGTATATGCTTTAGGTCAATAACTTTACCAGAGATGTTATAAAGATTATTTGGAATAATATGAAGTTTATCATTTAAATGGGACATGTTTAATAGTAAAAGTGATGTAAATTGGTATTCTCTTTTTTTATTCAAGTTGAAGTTCATTTGACTTCAAGGTCAGTGATCTTTTTAATACCTAACACTGACTCTCAGGTTAGTGAAGACATACACCCAGATGAGCATATAGATACACATATATGTGCATTCATATGTGTTGTTTTTCCCAAGAAAATGCCACAGAATGGTAATACCTCAAGATGTTCAGCTCAGTTCAGTTCAGACACTCAGTCATGTCCAAATCTTTGCAACTCCATGGACTTTAGCAAATCAGGCTTCCCCGTCTATCACCAACTCCCAGAACTTATTCAAAATCATGTCCATCGAGCCGGTGATGCCATCCAACCATCTTATCCTCTGTTGTCTTCTTCTCCTCATGCCTTTGATCTTTCCCAGCATCAGGGTCTTTTCCAGTGAGTCAGTTCTTCGCATCAGGTGTCCAAAGTATTGGAGCTTCAACTTCAGCATCAGTCGTTCCAATGAATATTCAGGACTGATTTCCTTTAGGATAGAAAGGTTGGCTCTCCTTGCAGTCCAAGGGACTCTCAACAGTCTTCACCAAGACCACAGTTCAAAAGCATAAATTCTTTGGTGCTCAGCTTTCTTTATAGTACAACTCTTACATCCATACATGACTACTGGAAAAAGCATAGCTTTGACTAGACAGACCTTTGCTGGCAAAGTAATGTCTCTGCTTTTTAATATGTTGTCTAGGTTAGTCATAGCTTTTCTTCCAAGGAGCAAGCATCTTTTAATTTCATGGCTGCAGTCACCATCTGCAGTGATTTTGGAGCACAAGAAAACAAAGTCTGTCACTGTTTCCATTGTTTCCCCAACGATTTGCCATGAAGTGATGGGACCAGATGCTGAAGCTGAAACTCCAATACTTTGGCCACCTTATGTGAAGAGTTGACTCATTGGAAAAGACCCTGATGCTGGGAGGGATTGGGGGCGGGAGGAGAAGGGGACAATAGAGGATGAGATGGCTGGATGGCATCACCGACTCAATGGACATGAGTTTGAGTAAGTTTCGGGATCGCAAAGAGTTGGACATGACCGAACGACTGAACTGAACTGAACTGAACTGAACTGATGGGACCAGATGCCATGATCTTAGTTTTCTCTATGTTGAGTTTTAAGCCAGCTTTTTCACCCTCCTCTTTCACTGTCATCAAGAGGCTTTTTAGTTCTTCTTCGCTTTCTGCCCTAAGGGTGGTGTCATCTGCATATCTGAGGTTATTTATATTTCTCCTGGCAATCTTGATTCCAGCTTGTGCTTCATCCAGCCAGGCATTTCACATGATATACTCTGCATATAAGATTTATCCAAGATTAATTTCTGCTTTGAGCTTCATTTGATTGAACTTTCACGTTGGAAAACAGGTCCTGACACAAAATTCATTGGAGGTTAACCTGGGCCTCTCGATCTGCTGTATAGAAATGTTACTGAGTATGACATTTTCTAAAAACCTTCTCAAAGAGTGAATTTTTAGGAGATAGGAGTCTTAGAAAATTCACTGAATACCAACCAGATTTTTCTAGGGAGAATGGTGTGTTTTCTAATGTTTCTAGTTGGTGGTGGGAAGGAACACACTTAAATAACAACAAAATTAACATTGGCTGACATTCTTATTTGTGTGAGATTTGAGCTGTGGCCTCTACCTCAGG